CAAATTAACTACAATGTATAACATACAATAATTGTTATGGAATGAAGTTAAATTGTAGCAAAAAATGTCAATATATTGTAGTTACTTATATTACCTGCTCAATCCCCTTTTCCAACTTCTTGAGCTTGCTAGTCACAGATTCAGTGTCCTCTTGACAATCTGTATGTTTTGGTTCAAATGTTGGAGAAGCATCAATTGGAACCTGTGATGATTGAGCACCATGTTCATCTTCATACTGAATCTTGTCTGGCAGGTTAAGCACTCTAATCTCTTCTCCAGATTCAGTCATGCTTGTGAACTGAATGATGGAAATAACAGTTAGTTCAAGTAAATAAAATTGTAGATTAATTGTAGTTATTATGGAGGTAAATGTAGCATCATACAAAAGTGAAAAAATATACCTTGAGCCACTCAGGCTTGATCATCTTCTCTTCAATTGCAGTTAACCAAATCTGGCCCTTTGTAGCTGACCATCTTAAAATGCGAGGTATAGATTCAGAACACCTCGTAGCAAGCTCTGTGCTGACGGACGAGCAACACTCATATAGCCACACTTGCAAGGCTAATGAGCATCCCCGTATCAGATAAGAATGTACATGGGGATTAAGACGATGTCGGACAGATTCAATAACCTGCTTGAAGGATTTGATACCCCATGGGTATGACTCAAAATTACCAGACTCTATCAGAAAGAACATAAACTTGTCTATGAAAGACACATGGTCTTTATCAGAAGGACAAACAAAAAATTCCAACAGATAAAGAATGCACAACCTCACTGCATCCTCATCGTTTGCCCAAACTTTATTTGTGAATACACTTTTCAAATGCCACTTTTCAACCCTTTGTTTGTTCGGAAAATAGGTAGTCATTAAATGGCTAACTTAAGTGGAAGTGTAACCATAGTCTGAAAAATTATTCACACAATTTAGACTAGTAATCAACCCAAATTCTCTCAAGGAAAAATTCAATTTTTCACCCTTCAATAGTACTGAAAAATATGAGTCGGTAGACTTTGACAATTCATACTTCATCAGAAGATGAATTGCTTGGTTTTGCATACAGATTGTGGGGAGACCAAATAAGTAACCAAAACAAGTTTTTTGGAAAAGCTTTAAAGCATTTGGAGAGAGTAAAGCTTTTATCTGGCTAGGTATGCTCGGATCACACAAACTGCGGAATCTAGGCACACCATAATCAATATTTTGTGGTGCAAAGTAATGGCCATTCTGCAGAAAATAAAAAATTATTGAACATTAGTAGTTTGCATAAAAAAGAAGCAGTAATCTATATATAACTACATGATAACTACAAAATATAACTAAAAGAAGAACAGCCTACCCACACCTATAACTACAAAACAATACAGGACATCTACACATGTAAACATTATCTCAAAACAATAAGGAAGAAAAGGGTAACCACAGCTCTATAACTACAAAAATATAACAGTTAGTTCAAGTAACTCACAAAATGTAGATCAATTGTAGTTAGTATGAAGGTAAATGTAGCAGCATACAAAAGGTGAAAAATATACCTTATCTACAATTTACCCAGCAGCCTACAAAACAACTACAAAATAACTACATTTATGCACTGTCTAAAAATCACAATTACAATTAACCTTCAAAATTGAGACAAACAATCTACAAAATTTGGACAATTCCACATTTTACCAAAAAACACTTGAACAACAGATTTTTACAACCAAAATCACACTAAAAAACTGTAAAGAAAAATAATTAGTGTTTACCTTTACCAAAATCTTTTTGTGAACCAATTTTGGTACTTTTTTGGAGGGTTTCTTCTTTTTTGATTTTGATGAAGAAGGAGAGACCTTGGGTTTTTTCACAGATGAAATTTTAGAGGAATCTTCAACAAAATCATCATCTATACACAACTCTTTCCCCTTTCGTTTGAGTTGTTTCTCGACTGGTTTATCACCTCCACCAGCATCAACATCGTGCAAATGCTTGCTTCTCATCTCCGCACGGATTTTTCTAGGAGATTAAATACTAGTAGTGCCTCACTTGCATGTGTCGATTTTGCGTTTTTGGGTGGTGATTTTGGTGTTAAAACACCCAAATAAAAGGATGGGATATAAGCTAATGTAGCTTTTGAAGCTTTTTTTTTGGGAGTGTTGATTTATTTCATGATTTGGGACTTGAAAAAACAGATGCAACTTCAAAATAGGATTTTGCGAAATTAACTGGAGAAGAAAATTGTAGATCGTGGGTAACTGATGGTAAACGTGGGTGAGAGGCGAGTATACGAAAATGGGGGAATTAACTGAAGGTAAAATGTGGGGAGGGGGGAGGTGTGGGGGGTGGGAGGAGAGAGAGGCGGGTAAACGAAAATGGGAGAATATACGCTCCTAAATTAACGCCTAATATAAATGAAGCATTAATTATACCCTCAATTTGAATTATGGTATATAAATGGTAATTTGGTATGCTGAAATGTAATTAACACAATACTTAAACATTAAGGGTAATAAGGTTTCCTATATGGTATACGAAGGTAAAAATCCCAAGTATATTCGAGCACTAATGGATGTTTGGTGTTGCCAGAGTCCAGTTTTAGGCCCGATAATCCTAAAAAAACTTTTCGGACCCGCGATTTCAACTTTAGAGCCACTTTTTCCGAAGTTAATTCTGAAGCGGCTATACTTTAAAAACTTTATAAATATCCACTATTCTTTAAAGAGAAATTTTCATAAAGCACTATCTTTTAGTAGTAATTAGCCATCTATAGCTACCATTTGCTATATTACGGATTATAGATACCTTTTGTGAGGTTATAAGATGTATTTGATGTATTTAAGCTATTGTATTCATGAATATATTAGCAAAAATAGGCGTGAATCAGGGAAGTCCAGCTAATCAGTTGTTGTATTCGAGTGTATTCGACTGTATTCATGGAGTGAAACATGGGATTACAGCTGGACAGATTATTGTATTCAACTGTATTCGACTGTATTCATGGCGTGAAATAGGGGATTACACTGTTTTTAAAACGGAAAGTGAATCAATTAACATAATAGACTCCTAATATAATTCAACAAACGCAATTATAACACACAAATTTTATATTTTCAGTTATAAAAAATATTCTCAACCGAAAAATACCCAAAAACATAGCAATCTTCAGAGAAATTATATAATACTTCTGAATACATAAATTATATTAATTAAAAAATATATATGAATACATTCATGGCATATAGCGAGACAGTGAATACAATGAAATACATAGAATACAGCGGGATACATTGAAATACAATGAAAAAAGACAGTGAATACAATGAAATACATGAAATACAACGAGATACATTGAATTACAATGAAAAAAAAGACAATGAATACAACGAAATACATGAAAATACATTGAAATATATTAACAGAAAATCAAGTTGCTCAGCCCCAAACTCCGTCGCCTTTGTTCAAGAATAAACCCTAATTTCCGGCGAATCCGCCGTTCACCGGAAGCCGGTAGTGAAAACGCGCCGCCTTGGTCCGGCGATGGTGCCGGAGCCGAGGTCACTTCCTGAGCAGAAGCAACCGCCGATAAGACCGCCGATACGCGAATCAAAACCCTTCTTTCATGGCTTTTGCATAGCTTTTTGTACGTGTACCCATGTGCGTGGTCTCTTCGCATAAATTAAATGAATAGATAGTCACGGGGACCGGCGGTAGTGATAACTGAATCAGTCCTATGGACAGTTCCAAACCTGGAACTGACATTCAAATTGGAAATCAAGGTGGGGTCTCAGATCCTTCAAGAAATTCTAAGAATTGAACATACCATAGATCCACACTTGTTTATACCCAAGTGCTTGGTACATAGATCACTACCAATACAATCTCCTTGTACGGATGCTCACCAACCTAGATAACTCACCATTTTAGACAATCAAACATGGAGAAAGAGGCGGAGAGAGAGGAGATAACCATGGAGAAAGACTAGCGTTGAGAGAGAGAGAGGGGTGGAGAAAAATATGAAAGAATGAGAGAGAAAAATAATACAAAAAGTATTTTATGGCTTAAGAATAGGAGGTAACCATAAATAGATATTTGGCTATAAAAATCAAAAGGTATCTATAGAATATAACTTTTTAAAAGGGTATTTATTTAAAATAAATAAGGTATCAACATTTGCTACATGAGGTAAAAATTCCTTCTTTAAATAAGAGTCCTAAAAAAGTGCCCAACATGGACTATGTACACAGGTTAGGAAAAGTACAAAGTCCACCAACACTGGTAGTTGTTGGTCAATTTTGGCTGAATTATGGAGTGGTACATAAGCAGACAACGTGACAACTAGTCATATAATGCTAAGTGGTCTTACATTTTCCAGGAAAATAATACTCCTATCAAAACAAAGACTACCTAACAATGGAAAAAGAATCAGAGAAAAAGAAACCAAGAATTCTCTGCCTCCATGGCTTTAGAGGCAGTGCTGAAATCCTCAAGAAATTGGTTCTCCGGTGGCCGGAATCCGTCTTAGATAAATTAGATTTGGTTTTTTTGGATGCACCTTTTCCAGCTCAGGGAAAATCTGCACTTGAAGGTTTCTTTGATCCTCCTTACTTTGAATGGTTTCAATCAAATAAGGTATTAACACTTTGCTTCTTATATTCTTGATTCACTGTTATTTTTGCTAGAGATGGATTCAATATATAATCAACGGGTTCAAATAAACTCAATGTGCCTAATTTTAACAAAGTGAATTGTGTTTATATAAAGGTTGAACTCATCAAGTTTAAATCCTGGATTTGCATCTGATTTCTGGCCATATTAATTTGATCAAAATTTTCCATCTTTGTTTTGTTTATAACATATGGAAGAATCAAACATGGAAATATTATTCTTGTAGGATTTCACAGACTTTTATAACTTTGAAGAATGTGTAGAGTACATAGAAGATTTTATGTCAAGGCATGGACCTTTTGATGGTATTCTTGGTTTCTCACAAGTAAGCCTTATTATTATTTTTTTTATCTTTATTTTTTAACCTTCCTCGGAAGTTTTGTCTTTCCTGTTTTTTTCTGCTTTAATTTTTTTTTTGTTGGGTGAAAAATAGGGAGCAGTTTTAGGTGCAGCAATACCAGGCATGCAAAGGGAAAGAGTGGCTCTAACAAAAGTTCCTGAGATAAAGTTTGTAATCATAATATCAGGAGCTAAATTAGGAGGGCCTACATATGTTGTACCACAATTGGCTGCCAATGCATTTTCATCTCCTATCAACTGCCCATCCCTTCACTTCTTAGGTACTTACATATTATAATTTGTTTTTTTAACCGTGAAGTCGAACATTTCTATAACAACATCCACATATAATAATTATTTCCTATTAAAATTATGTTTTCTCGGAATCGATTCTTATATTATGCTATAATATATATCCTCCATAACAACATTTCATTATAGCAACCCAAAAATATGGGAACAAATAAGATTGTTATAGAGAGGTTTGACTGTAGTTGAAGATCCCTTTCTTTTCAATAGATTATTTTTTGGGCAAATAGATTGGTTAACATTAGGCTCATGTGTATATTAGTCCACACATTGGGTGCTCAAAATGACCTTTTTTTGGTTTTCCACTTGGGAGCCTGATTAAATTTGGATTCGCGCCGAGAAGTCTAACATTAGGAGGTAAAGTGCTTCTTAACAAAGACGATTCTACACCCATGATTCGATCCCGACATATTTAGTTAAAGATGAAAGAGTATTTACCACTCCACCATACCCCTTGTTGGTGAGTGCTCAAAATGACTCAACAATTAGTATAAGTGTATTCATTTTTCTTTTTGAAGGAGAGACAGATTTCCAGAAAAAAGATGGTGAAATTCTGCTGGAGAGTTTTGTAGATCCACAAGTGATTCATCATCCTAAAGGCCATACCATACCCAAACTTGGTGAGTAGCTTGTGCAGTTTTCTGTTTTGGAATTTATACTATCTATTTGGTTTTCCTTTCTTTAGCCGAGGGTCTATTGGAAACAGTCTTTGCCCGTTAAGGGTAGGAGTAAAGTTGCTTACATCCTACTCTCTCCATACCCCATTGGTAGGATTACACTGGATTGTTGTTGTTGTAGTATTATACTTGGTTTAGAATATGGATATAATTATTACTTAAATAATATTTTAAAAATAAAAAATATACTCAACACTTTACTCGAAGTAATTTCTTGTCATTAATTAATATTTCGAATTTATTTTTACTGCCGCTGAAAAATACTAAATCTTTAAGAATCAAAGTAAAATGTAGGAAGAATCGTACGTTTCCTTGTCTTAGACTTTGACTTACTACTTATTTTCATCAATTTAGTTTCAAATTATCTACTGGAATTAAACTTGATTATACCTTAATTGTTCTTTTGCAGATGATAGCAGTCTTGAAATAATGCTTGGATTTATTGAAAAAATTCAAACACTTTAAGTTTGCACGAAGAAATAATTGTAGTTCTGGGTCTCATTGTTGGTCTCCACAAGAATTCTCGATTGTATGACATATGAATAATGGTTAATTTTTTTTCCAGTTATATTTTCTTTGATTATGGACATCTACTGATGTAATATTTCACAAACATGATAATTTACTAGTATATATAATAGACTTTTTTTAACTACATACTTTAACTTTATGGAGATTCTATTATACTCAGATAAGAAAATAGGAGTGTATTTGTTTCTTTTTCCTATTTTTACAATCAGTTTGTTTTCGCTGTTGTAGAAGGTAACTTATATTATTCTTTTTTTTTAACTAATTTCATTTTTATTTAAAAAAGTTGCTTCTAATTATCTTTCAATTGATACACCTAACAACAGCGAGAAGGAGAAAAGTAAAAAATGATACTATTAATTACTATTAAGTGTTTGTGAAAAGAAAAAAAAATAGAAAATCAAGAGCAAAAATGTGGTAGTTGTGGCCTGTGGGTCAATATTGGCTGAATGATAAGAGTAGTGCTAAAGGAGCAACGTGACAACAAGCCATATATATATAATTAATAAGTGAGAAATCAAACAAAGTGACCTTACATTTTCCAGAAAAATAATATAAAAACAAAAGCTAACATGGCAAAAAAATCTCAGCAGAAGAATCCTCTTCTTGATCAAAAGTTAACATGACTTTCATCCTCCTTAATTTTAATGGTTAGAATCAAATAATGTGATTAACACTTGCTTCATTACCGAAGTACTCCCTATCATGAAATTTCCTTATTATAAGAACTTTAATCGAGACATTTAATTAAGGATGAAGGGAGCCATCTATCTTACCATATTTTTTGGTGGTTCATCCCATCCTTGATTCACTACTATATCTGCTCATATTTATTCAATTTTAGTACTCCCTCCGGTTCATAAGAAGTGTCCAATTTGCTTTTTCATTTTTGTTCAAAATAAGTGTCCAGTTATGTAATCAAGAAAGAATTCAATTTGTTTTTACAAAATAACCCCTATGTACATATCCCTAAAAAGTTTTCTTACTCCTCACATTAAATGTTTAATTAGGGGTAGTTTAGTCATAGTAGGTATTTTTGTATAGAATTTAGTATTTTCTTAATGGGCGTGCTAAAAGCAAATTGGACACTTATTGTGAACCGGAGGGAGTATATCTTTTTGTAAGGTTTGCGTACATATTGCCTTCCTTAGGCCCCATGTGCGTGATTTCACTAGGTTGTTGTTGTTGTAGTATATGACAACTTTAAAGAATGCCTCGAGTACATAAATGTTAATTTTATCTTACAATAGGTTTATCTACGATCAACAACAATAACAACATACCATTATATTCCCACAAGTGTGGTTTGGGGAGGGTAGTATATACGTAGACCTTACCCCTACCTTGTGCAGGTAGAGAATTTGTTTCCGATAGTTTTTCTACGATCAACTAGCATATTTCTGAGAATTTTTAGATGAGAAAATGCCTAGAGGGTAACGTATATGCAACTTTTCAGAAGTGTAGACAACATTGTTGGGCTCATGCCCATGTTATCCAGCCAAAGGCCCAATGGCCTAATCCTATCATCTTTTTGGTTTCCATTCCTATTCGGAATTGGATTCGGTGTTTATTCCTATTTTGAGTGGGTTTTGGCTTTAAGAGAAAGCACCACTCATGATTTATAAATAGAACAACCTTGGAGAATTATTCTATGCTCATTGATACAAGTCTTTGAAAGACTTAAGCACATAACAGTGGTATCAGAGCCTTGGTTATTCATCCGGTTTGTTACGGAATGGAGGTGAATATGAGCAAGATGGTATGTTTAAATGGGAGAAATTATAATGTTTGGAGAAGCAAGATGAAATACTTGTTGTTCGTGAAGAAGATGCATCTACCCGTTTTTCAGCTCATAAACCCGAGAGTATATCCGATGAAGATTGGGATTTCGAGCACCAACAAGTATGTGGATATATACGACAATGGGTTGAAGATAACGTTCGCAACCATATTGTGAACGAGATACATGCGAGATCATTGTGGGAAAAGCTAGAGACTCTTTATGCTTCAAAAACCGGGAACAACAAATTATTTCCGCTAAAGCAATTGATGACCTTTAAATACAAGGAAGGTAGCCCTATCCTTGATCACATAAATGATTTTCAGGGCGTTCTTGATCAGCTATCTGGAGTGGGGGTTAATTTTGATGATGAGATACAAGGACTTTGGCTTCTTAATACTCTGTCAGACTCTTGGGAAACTCTTCGTGTTTCTTTGACAAATTCAGCTCCTGGAGGTAAGGTGACCATGGAATATGCCAAGAGTAGTGTGTTGAACGAGGAAGTAAGGAGAAAATCTCAGGGTTCGTCCTCACAAGCAGATATCTTGGTTACAGAAGATCGGGGGAGAGATAGAACAAGAGTCTCAAGGAATAGAGGTAAAAGTAGAAGTAAGTCAAGGTCCAAATACTATAATATTACATGCAACCACTGTGGCAAGAAAGGACACATCAAAAGGTTTTGCCGCAAGTTGAATCAAGACACTAGAGAAGGAAAGAACGTTGAAAATAACGAGAATAATGTTGTTGCTATTGTTCGAGATGACCTTCTTTTTGCTTATGATGAAAACGTCATCAATTTGGTATCCCATGAGACTAGCTGGATAGTAGATTCTGGAGCTACCTAACATGTCACACCAAGAAAAGATTTTTTCTCATCTTATACTACTGTTGATTCTGGAGTGTTAAAGATGGGCAATGCCAGTGAAGTTAAGGTGTTTGGTGTTGGCACAGTTTGTTTGAAAACTAATAATTTTTCAACATTAGTTCTTCAAGATGTCAAGCATGCTCCAGACTTTCCTTTCAATTTGATCTCCGCGGGAAGATTAGACGATGAAGGTTACCATAATGCCCTCTTTAATGGCCAATGGAAGCTCACTAAGGGCTCGTTAGTAGTGGCTCGGGGAGTCAAGTCTGGTTATTTATATGTGACACAGCGCTCTATTCTTAATGACTCAATAAATATGGTGGAAGGTGATACTTTATCAGAATTATGGCACAGAAGATTGAGTCATATGAGCGATAGGGGGATTACGTGTTTGGCTAAGAAAAGTTTGCTTTCTGGATTGAAACAAGCAAAGCTGAAAAGGTGTATCCATTGTTTAGCTGGCAAACAGAAAAGGGTTTCCTTTCATAGTCATCCTCCCTCAAGAAAGCCCGATTTATTGGAGCTAGTACACTCTGATTTGTGTGGTCCTTTTAAAGTAAAGTCAAAAGGTGGTGCACTTTACTTTGTGACCTTCATTGATGATCATTCTCGTAAGCTCTGGGTGTATCCTTTGAAATCTAAAGATCAAGCACTTGGCGTGTTTAAGGAATTTCAGGCCTTAGCTGAGAGACAGACGGGGAAGAAATTAAAATGTATTCGCACTGACAATGGTGGTGAATATTGTGGTCCCTTTGATAACTATTGCAAGGAACAAGGAATTCGTCATCAGAAAACTCCGCCCAAGACGCCTCAATTGAACGGTTTGGCAGAGAGGATGAATAGAACTCTAGTTGAGAGAGTTAGATGCTTACTTTCAGAGGCTAAACTTCCAAATACATTTTGGGCGGAAGCACTTAACATTGTTGCCTATGTTATCAATTTGTCTCCTGCTGTTGCTTTGGATGGTGATGTCCCAGACAGAGTTTGGTTTGCCAAAGATGTTTCTTATGATCACCTGAGAGTTTTTGGGTGTAAAGCTTGTGTGCATATTCCTAAAGATGAGAGATCGAAACTGGATGTCAAAACTAAGCAGTGCATCTTTATCGGTTATGGTCAAGATGAGTTTGGGTATCGTTTGTATGATCCAATTGATAATAAACTTATTAGAAGTCGTGATGCTATATTCTTTGAAGACCAAACTATTGAAGATATTGACAAAGCTGAGAAGATAGATTCTCAGAGTAATGAGAGCTTAGTTGATATTGATCCAGTTTCAATTGCTAAGGCACCTATTGCACATGAAGGAACCTAAGACAATGATGGAGATAGTGATCAAGATCAAAATGATCATCATGGTGTAGATGTTATGGATGCTCCAGTTGATGAAGTTGTGGTTGATCAGCAACCAATTCCTACACAGGTAACTACTTCGAATGCTCCTGAAACCTCTCTTAGAAGATCTACAAGGGAGAAGCAAAAATCCATGCGCTATCCTCCTGATGAGTATGTACTTTTGACTGACATGGGAGAACCTGAGAATTATGATGAAGCCATGCAAGATAATCACAAAGATCATTGGATCGAAGCGATGGAAGATGAGATGAAGTCACTTCATGAGAATGGCACATATGAGTTAGTGAAATTGCCGAAAGGTAAGAGAGCTTTATCTAACAAATGGATATTCAGAATAAAGCAAGATAACCATACCTCTGCGCCTAGATACAAGGCGAGGTTAGTTGTTAAAGGTTTTGGCCAGAAGAAGGGAGTTGACTTTGATGAAATTTTCTCCCCTGTTGTAAAGATGTCTTCTATCCGTGTGGTTCTAGGCTTAGCCGCAAGTCTAGATTTAGAGGTTGAGCAGATGGATGTCAAGACTGCTTTTCTTCATGGTGATTTAGATGAGGAGATTTATATGGAGCAACCTGAGGGTTTTGTAACTAAGGAAAAAGAAAATTATGTCTGCAAATTGAAAAAGAGCCTCTATGGATTGAAACAAGCTCCATGGCAATAGTATTTGAAGTTTGAATCTGTCATAGAAGAACAAGGGTACAAGAAAACTTCTTCAGACCACTGTGTATTCTTCCAGAAGTTCTCTGATGATGATTTTATTATTTTATTGCTTTATGTGGATGACATGCTTATTGGTGGCAAGAATAAATCCAAAATCGCAGTCCTTAAGAAGCAGTTAAGCAAATCGTTTGCGATGAAGGACTTGGGGCCAGCAAAGAAAATCTTGGGCATTCAAATCCACCGACATAGAGACAGAAAGGAGTTATTTCTGTCCCAAAAGCAATACATTGAGAAGGTACTCAAGAGGTTCAATATGACAGATGCAAAAGTGGTTAGTACTCCTCTTGCTAAACACTTCAAATTGAGTATTAGTCAGAGTCCATCTACTGATGAAGAGAAAAAGGAGATGTCTCGTATTCCTTACTCTTCTACCGTTGGTAGCTTGATGTATGCTATGGTTTGCACTAGACCAGATATTGCACATGCCGTTGGTACTGTTAGTAAATTCCTTTCTAATCCTGGAAAAAAACATTGGGATGCAATAAAATGGATATTAAGGTATTTGAAAGGTATTGCAGATTTGAAGCTGTGCTTTGGCAATGGCAAGCCTGAACTTGTTTGTTACACAGACTCTGATTTAGGAGGCAATCTTGATAATTCAAGATCCACTTCCGGTTATCTGATAACTTTTGCAAGGGGAGCTGTTTCTTGGCAATCTAGACTACAGAAGTGCATAGCTCTATCCACCACAGAAGCCGAATATATTGCTGTCACAGAAGGTGCCAAAGAACTATTATGGATAAAGGAGTTTATTAATGATCTTGGCTTTGAGCAGCCAAGGTGCATCTTATTTTGTGATAATCAGAGTGCTATCTGTCTCGCCAAGCACTCCACTTTTCATTCTAAGACCAAACATATAAATAGAAAGTATCATTGGATAAGAATGGCCGTGGAAGAGAAATTATTTGAGGTTGAGTAGATACACACTGATGAAAATCCTTCGGATATGCTGACAAAGGCGGTGGCTGCAGATAAACATGAATTTTACAGAAAATTGGCAAGCATGAAGCCTGTCAATAGTTCCTCTACTTGAAGACACATTTGGCCCCTTGGCTGGAGGGGGAGTTTGTTGGGCTCATGCCCATGTTGTCCAGCCAAAGGCCCAATGGCCTAATCCTATCATCTTTTGATTTTCATTCCTATTCGGAATTGGATTCGGTGTTTATTCCTATTTAGAGTGGGTTTTGGCTTTAAGAGAAAGCACCACTCATGATTTATAAATAGGACAACCTTGGAGAATTATTCTATGCTCATTGATACAAGTCTTTGAAAGACTTAAGCACATAAGAGTGGTTTAGAGAGAGCTTTCATCAAGAGAGAAGAGAGAAGAAAAGTATTTATTTTGCTGTAGATTTTTATTCCGACCAGCCAACTTCATGTTTTCCGATTCGTTAACCGTTGGATCGGGCTGAAATTTTGACTGAGTGTTCTTAACATCTTGGTCTTAGATTTGAACGGTGGAGATCGGATTTGGAGGCTCGTAGCATCTTATTTTGAGCCTCGAACAACAGCTTCATTTTTTTGGATTATACTCTTTCTTCAATTGATTAGTTGTTGCTCTTGTTGCTATTGTTGCTCCGTGTTTGGTCCTTGTTGTGTAGCCAATCTGGAGAACTTTTGCAACCCTCTTATTGTTATAGTGGAGCTTTTTGGATCTTTGTGATCCCGTGGTTTTTACCTTCGATTTGAAGGTTTTTCCACGTTAAAATTTGGTGTTCTTTATCTTCTTTATTTTTCGGGTTTGCCTCTTCCTCAACATACAAGTGGTATCAGAGCAAGATTCAAAACATGTTCATCTTGGCGGGTTCAGTTCTAGCCGCAACATATTTGATGATAATCGTGATTTTTCTCTGAAAAATTTGACTGGTGTGCTACGCACGTTGAGACAAACTTTGCGGTGGAGATTTGGAGATGCGACCTGTTGAAGGCTATGTGAAGAAGGTAGATTAAGTTAATTTTGTCAGAAAATTCAGGCCAAGGGGGAGAATTGTTAGGTGTTTGCCATAATTTTCTTACCATATTTGGTTTTCCTATTTGTTGAAGGAAAAGGGCAATATAATTACCTTTATTAGGTTTTCCTTCTTGTAGAAGGAAATTACAAATCTCTCATATTTGGCTAGTCCTTTTCTTGTAGGAAAAGGGTTGGAGTTCTAAAATTGAAGATCCGTCATCTCATTCAGTAGCATCCACAATGTAGTCATATGGGGCTTGAGAGTCGTGTTTAGGTGGAGAACTTTACGGGACAAGTGTTAGTGTGTCACTTGTGTTTGCCTCTTCGTGAGGTTGTTCTCTCGATATTTTGTACTCTCTTTTATTATAGTGGATTGCTCATCTCTGCCGTGGACGTAGGTCAGTTGACCGAACAACGTTAAATGTTTGTATCTCTTTTGGTAGATTTCTCTTTTGTTGTATGATTTATCGTCGCTCAAGGTTTGCTTGCTATCTTCCGCATGACACCTGACTTTTTTCGGTCCTAACAAACATAGTACAACAAGAAAAGGAAAATCCTAAAAGAACAAAGTATAAAATCTCTAAAGGTATGATAAACTGCATATATCCAAAATGCAATAAGGTAATTATTTTGAAACATATATATGTTAGTGTCAAATTTGGGCATGTATATGATACAAAAACTGCAAATTGAATTTGAACTTTTCCTAGGCAGGGGGCAAGCTAATGTAATTGTTCGGGGTTCATCTGAATTCATTACAGTATTTTCGACGCGGAACATAATAGTATAGGTAAAAAACTACGAAAATTATAATAAATAGTACTCAGATATAAACCCCATAACTTTATAATATAACGAATTCAATGCTAAGAACCTTAAATATTGAACCCATAAAGTTCAAATTCTGAATCCGGTTTACGAATATACCTAATTTGCCATTGGGAGAACCCTAGCCTTGATGTCCTCCACAGTTAATCCTTTCTCCAAATATTCAATGTTAGAAGGGTCAAAAGGTCCTTTTATTCTATCTACACAGTTAATCACTGCCCTAGCTGGAAGCACACTCTTTGATGGATCTGGACAAGTCCCATAACTCAAACATGAAGAAAATCCCTTGAATATTAAAACTTCTACTTCTTCCTCATTCACAACAGCTTTCACAAGAAGAGCTTCATTTCTCACTGATTGACTATAAAACTCTAACATTGCTATTTCTGTATTGTGTCCATATTCTTGATCATCTTCTTCTTCGTCGTCATCATTATCGTATATAACTCTCCTCCTTGCACGGCAAAATACGGAGGCCAGAGGCCGTCCGGCACTCGAATATTTCCGAGCAGTGATGGAGGAGGAAGAGTGAAAGGTGACAGCAGTTTTAATTGGGTTGTTATTATGGCTGGGAAAGTAAGGCAAAAGATATGGTAAGCATTGTGAATTGCATGTTATTCTATGCTTCAACATGCTAGCCAAAGTGTAACTTGTTTTCTTCTTTCTTGTTAGCCTTCTTCTGATGTTTTGTCCTTATTTTTTTAGGTGTAACAATCCCAGGGATGCAAAGGGAAAGAGTGGCTCTAACAAAATCTCTAGAGATAAAGTTTCTTATCATATGGGGCACCACTGGGGCGTCAAATGAACGGGTTGGGCCGATTTTGGGCGGATTAAATCGGTTGAGTCAATAACTGTGCGGGTCAAATGACCCGCCCAAAAATTACTTGGGTTGAGATGCATTGGGTCAAAATGGGCTAAAATTTGGGTCATAGCCTAACCCGCCCAACTCTTACCAAGCTTTAACTAATATGTATTATTTTCTTATGAATTGTATAACTACTAAATAAGACTTTTTTTTTTCTTTTATTATTGCCATATATAACATATCAAATAAAAAAATTATTTCTAAAATATTTTGGCAAAGTTACTCATGGATCAATTTGGGCTAAAAATTAGCCCAACTTTAAACGGGTTGAGATGAGCTGGGTCAAGATAGCTGAGTTCAATAAATGGGTGGGTCAATAATCAGCCAAACCTTGAGCGTGCGGGTTGGTCAGGTCATTTGAGCTTGGGCCAAATTTGACAGCCCTAGGTACCACCGTTGACTGCCAATTTGGGCGGACTTACTTGTATCATTGAAGGGTCATCGGAGCCGTATGTGTCTGAATATCTTGAAAATGATAATATAAATAACTTGCTACCTTGAATACTAAAAGCGTTTAGAGGGCATCGGTTGAGCAGCTTGCTCAAATTTCCTTAACCAATGTGCTGACCTTGGAAAAGAAATAATGGTGCATGTGTCGCGTTAAAATCTTAGGGCCGTCTTTGCTTCAAATGCATTTTCTTATGGATAATATGAGCAAAAAAATAGAGCAAAATATAGGAAGGATCATTTGCTTGGTTTAGCTTACTAATTATTTACATGATCTAAGTTTGAAATAATTTACTAGAACAAAACTTGATTATACCTTTATTTATCTTTGAAGATGATAGCAGCCTTAAAATAATGCTTGGTTTGGGTTTATTGAAATAATTTAATAGTATGGATTAATTCTCAAATATTTTTTGTTTTCGTTTCTTTGTTGATTATGGGCATCTTGTGATGGAATTGTTCACAAGTAAACGCGACAATTTACGCTGTATTTTATCTAATAACTATAAGATAATATTTTGACAATTGATGGAAAATGTTAAAGATGAGGAAGAATGTCTACAAGTTAAATGTGAAGGAAATGTTTGATTTTTCAGACAAACAAGCTAGAGGCGAAAGAATAGAAAGGCTTTTTTCACTTTTAGCACGTGTTAGAAATTATTTACGTATAATAGCTGAAAAAAGTGTATAGAATTTGTATAATTTTTGTATATAACATGCAGAATGCACATATATATACAAAAAATATAAAAAATTTATACACTTTTTCGGCTATCGAATGTAAATAATTTCCGATACGGGCTATATATTTTATACGCCCATTTGGATTAGAAACTCCTCGTGGTCTTTCACCTTCCTTACTCCTGTGCTTCTACATTTCAATATGAACAACCATATGCAGGTTGAACTCCTCCTTTTCAAACTAATAGCGAAAGAACGGGAGAAATTTAAAAATTGTCAGATTACAAGTGGTCATATATAAATAGCCACAGTTTCAAAAGTAATCAAAATTTAGCCACTTTTCATGTAAAGATAAATCTTAAGGAAAATACTGTTCAAACTCCGGAATAATACTCCAGTATAATTAAAAGTAATCGGAATTTAGCCACTTTTCATGTAAAGATAAATCTGAACGAAAATACTGTTCAAAATCCGGAATAATACTCTAGTATAATATACTGGAGTTCCAGTATAATATATCGGTCCAGCATAATATACTGGAACTTTTCGCGTGTTGAAGTTCCAGCATAATATGCTGGAAGTTCATACGCAGGTGCACCGATCTCCATCATATTATGCTGGAACTTTTCGTGTTGCAGCAAAATAGTTTATTTTTCAATGACTTTGCAAATGCTGGCTATTTTTGAATGACCAGTTCGAAAACTGGCTAGCCCGTACTATTTTTACCGAAAGAACATATCTTTAATTATAGGCCCATGTTGGATTAAAAAAAATTCCTCCTTTTTGTAAATTTGTGGCAATTTTCGACCCATATAAAATAAATTGTGGCGGTTTCAAAAAATGTCACTGTTATATTTGCCATGAGCTATTTTGCGACGGTTTTCTAAAACCGCAATGACGACCGCCACAAAATAAAATGTTAACTTGTGACGGTTTTTTAAGGCAAGTATTGGCGGTTTATACCCAATATTTTTAGTATTATCTATACGAACATATTTATGACAAAAATTGATGAAGCAGTGTCACGTACACAGCTTGAGATAAGGTGAGTGTATATGATTTCTTTTCATGGGTTTAGCTATACTTGTTAATCGGGCTGGCCTGGCCTGTTCACAACTCAGTTCGACCCGGTTTAGCCCGGGTTAGCCCGGTACTATAGGGGTTGGGGACGGGCTGGGGAGGGTTGGGCGGGGAGCCAGGCTTGGAAGAACAAAATTTGGTAACCGGTGCACCGAAACCAAGTTAGCTCAGTTACCCGTTACCGGGCTACAGCCAAGTCCAGCCCGGTTACCGTTACAATTTTTTTTAAAAAAAAAAAAAAATTGTGGACCGTTGCCAACGGTTAAAATCAAAAATGACCACTGGGAAACGGCTATTTTTTGCACTTTTAGCCATTTCGGCCTATCTCCTTACTAAAATAGCCCCTTCATCCCCTAATAATTGATAAATTACATTCTTAGCCTTTTAATAACTATAAATAGCCCCCCTCTTCTTTATTTTTTTTCACAACTTGCTCCCTTCTTCTGCTCTAATTCTCTCTCAAATCCCTTTTGATTATTGAATTGCTTATTGTTCTCAAGTTCTCAATTAATTAATATTTCAAGTTTATCAATTATTTACGGTAGCCACTACAATATTATAATTATCAAGTGAAGTGTGGTTATTATTTTTGTTAGGTTCAAGTATCATGCCCCGTGCTTCTAGAGTGCGCTCACATGTTTGGGAACACTTTGAGGTGGTAGAAGAAAATGAAGAAGTTCGCAAAGTTTAGTGCAAGAACTGTGGTCTAGTCATTAATATTCGTCGAAAGGGGGAAGGCACAACTGGTTTAAGGAGGCATATCAAGAGTTGTCTTGAGTGTCCTCCATCAATTCGTATTTTAAGTTGATTTGAGATAATTTGTGTTATTTTGAATTTGTTAGACTTATTTAAGCTTAATGTGTTAGTGTATTAGATAAGTTAATTTGAAGTATTATTATGCAATGAAAATATGAAATAAATGCCTTTGAAGTTTGATCCTTACATATTGGTCTAATTAAATAATTTTATGTAGCCACTTAATTTTATAATTTATATTTCAAATTTAAAACTTTAAGTTTTAAAGTTTTAAAGTTTAATTGTAAGCCTTAATTCTAAGCCCTAAAAGTTTGAAAATACTTAAGTATCAATAACATTGAATATGTAAAACAAAATATACAAAAAAAAAGTGCCGGTTCCGGCCCCGTTAAGCCCGAACTCAATCGGCCCCACCAAAACCCGGAAAATCTCAGTCCACTAACAGCCCGGAACAATAACCGGACAGGCTGTTTTTTTTTTTTTTTTTGTCCAGCGCGGACCAGCCCGTCCGGTTAACACCTATAGGTTTAGCATGTGAAAGATAAACTTTTAGATGATATGTAGTAGGTTATGAAGTACAAAACACACTTAGACGCACATAATATTCTATTTATTTGTGTTTCTATGTTGATCTGCAGAATTTATCTTGGTTATTACTTGCGATATCTTTTATGCGCAGGAGCTTTTCTTATAAAGAAATGTGAAAAAACATCCACCAAATGACAAATAGTGGCATGTTGTAATAACATATGCTCAACAAGACACTTTTATTTGTGTCCAACCGATGAAGCTTAAGATTACCATTGCTTTTTCACAGCAAGGGAATATTTGACATGTCACAACAGATCGTGTGACTAGAAATTCAAATATAATTCGCATAGTATACCATCAAATTGGAGTGAGTTTGTGTTGATAAAACAAGCGCTAAATACTTAGTTGTGAATCTTTATTTGGCAGTTTAAATGCTGCTTCAAATCAAATTAAGCAATGTCATTTTTCTTCTGATTCAAGAAATTCGGCCCCCTGAACCATATACACCACTTAAGAAATCCACCATTCCACTTTCTCCATTCAGGAGATAATACGAGTGTTACATCGACGTATTATAATAATTTATAATAATCTGCACAGAAGGGGAGCCTTAGCGTAACTGATAAAGTTGTTGTCATGTGACCAGGAGGTCACGGGTTTGAATCGTGAAAACAACCTCTTGCAGATATGCGGCGTAAGGCTGCATGCAATAGACCTTGTGGTTCGGCCCTTCCCCGAACCCCGCGCATAGCGGCAGCTTAGTGCACCGGTCTGCCCTAGCAGGATCTGCATAATTGATTGAAGTATGTATGAGGTACATTTGTAATACTGGTGACAGCAAAGAAATGTAGCAGGTAAATTATCCTGCTATACAACATGCCTGAGTTTATTTTATATTTTGTCAAGTATCATTGTCATGCAGAGTTTATGTGTTTGCAGATGATTTATATTTTGGATTCTTGTAGGTGAATATAGACTGAATAACAAGCTGGAGTGACTGTTTGTGGTCCTTTTGGTCACTGATTGCCCTTTGAGTAAGTGAAAAGAGTCTATCTTGTTTTAATTGTGCTTTGTTGGAAGCATTCATTGTCAATATCTCAGTTGCAGAGGAAAAATTGAAAGAATAAAGCCACCTTTAAATATTGTTCTTCCCACCTAATTTTACTATGCTTTATAAAAAGCAAACTAAAGAGTAGTATGTACTAATTAAAAATTAAAAATAAAATATGAGTGTGTTACCACTAGCAAGTGCTTAGTAGACTACTACTCTCTCTTCCTGGTAAAAGAGATTCTCACTTCCTCAGTTAAAAATATATTACCACCATTTAGGTTTGTGGTTATTTTAAGCCCTTAAAAGTTTTGTTTGGTTCAAAACCATGATATTCAATGTTCACTAGGCGTAACTCGTAAGGCGGGCAACTGGGCCGGCCGGGGACCACGGGCTAAATGGGCTAAACGGGTTGGGACCATTTGGCCCGTTAGAGGTGGACTTGTGCCGGGCTTGTGGGCCAGTATTTAGCTAGGAATCGTTAGGACCGGGCCTATTTGGCCCGCCAAGAGATCGGGACCGGAGCGGTCCCTTGAC